AGCGCCCACCACTGTGTGTCCGGTGACATTAAGCTTACCGTGGTAGCGTGCAACGCACCAATCGAAAAACACTTGATCAATACTTGATTTCATGTGACCTTGTTTTGCATTCGTTTTCAATTGTTTGTACTGTGGTTGACTAGTATGCACGAGATGACAGTGTCATCCCACAATTTTCGTCTTCTGGTATTCTTACAAATTTAACTCGTTCTCCGTAATCCGCAAAATGATTTTTGTGGATAATTCAGGTATTTCTTTTCTATTTTGTGAAGCAACGGGCTCACATGCGAAGAATATTATAGGGTTTACCTGGCTGAGTTCTGCTTCATGTTTACGGATAAGACTTGCTTCCTTCTCCGAGAAGGCGGCCTCCAAACAAACCCGCTGATCTTCTTTTAACTTCTCGATGAGTAATTCAAAGGACTTTGTTTGTATGTAATTGGTTGTTTCCTCGTTTAGCTGCAGAGCTGCAAAACCGTCCGTTTGTGTCTTCGCATTGTTCGTGTTCACTGTAGAAGAACGCTGAAACTCCCTGCTCGCCCGTTCGTATGGGTCCTCGTCTTCACACACTTTCATGCTATTCCCCTGTGCAATGCGATCGTTCGAGTTTGTCTGACCTTTCTCTTGCTCCACCAGTGTGCAATGTAGTTTCTGTAACGAAGTCGATAAATGCCCTATGTTCAATGTGAGTTGCTTTCAACTTATCAGGTGTAACCTAACTGTGAAGCAAACACTGTCATACTGACGTTCAACAGTAACACTGCCGTTGTTCATAGAGTTTAGTGGTTTGGAGATAGAGACGTCAGCCGTCAACCACTAACTGCTGGGTTCAACTCCCCACTCCGGCTATCCCTGAGCGACGAGTTCAGTCTGAGAGTAAACTAGCCGTGGAGCGCAGTGTTGGGAATGGACAGCATCGAAATTCCTTCGATATCGCCGCCTCACTTCTACCGGAGGAAAGAAAAAATCGAATGGGTGGCTCAAAATGCTATGATAATTGTGCAGTAGCGCTAGTGATTCACTGCCATGCTGCCACTGGCATATTCGTGGGTGTGGTGAGTGAATAAGAGTTTCCGAATGGAACTTGGACCCAGAGGTATAGACTCCATCTATTCAGCAGAGCAGCAGATGGTTGTCAAATCGTATCGGAGCTCACCCGTAGCTGACGTTCCCTGGAATCCATTGGTATTCATACCCATTATTGTCCAAAGTGCACAACTCTAATCTAGATTGCCACTACATGCATAAGTTATTGATTTTTCTTGCATCATCAACAGCAGTATATCAGTCATTTGAACTGACGTTTCGCTGCCGTACAACCAGCGTGACCTACGGAACAAAGAACAATAAGAGGGAGAGAAGGGGGACCTGGCGTAAAACCTTAATGCGTACAACAAACACCGTGACTCAAGGCGCCTCCACCTTGTCAAGAGGGTAACATCACAAACAGCTGGCTATCGTGCAAATATACGGCGGCATCAGCGAGACAGCTTCCTTGCAGTCTTCACTGCTCCGCGTCCTAATCAGCCATTACCGCGTAGATAACTCAGCATAAAACACTGCAGACTAGGAGAAGACAGCAGACGCGCCACTGGTGTGGACTGAGAGCCGTGTCATGTAACGTCTCGAGTCAAACATAAGGTGGGTCACGTGGATGCGGTTTAGTCGCCAAGGTCTTCGTTTCCCCTATACCAGGTCAAACGCTGTCTCCTACAGAGCCTAGCGCCGTCCAGTATACATTAGGCAAAACCAGACTCTCCTCGGTACGCAATGCTCAACTCAATGCACTTTATGCAATAACGTTTGTTCCAGCTGATTGAAATAAGTGCCGCTAAACATTATTTATCAACACAAGTCATTGTTAGTTAGCAATATGAGAAGAACAAACAAGTATCCAAAATGCTCGGTTAGATCAATTGGTACTGGCTAAGATAAGTCCTATTTCAGAGGCTGGAGACCCGGTGAGACGCGTCGGTGAAGTCAAAGACCTTCATTCTCTTAGTCTCTTTCCCTGAATCGCTTTTTGAGCTCATTCTACCGCAGATCATCTGGATTTTTCATGGCCGCCAATTTTACTGTCAAAGTAATTCACTACACGTATAGCTGGGATTGTGAGGTGAGTGTCCTGCAGTATGTGTGTGTGAGTACTATGATTTCCTTTGTCACGCGTCAAAATTGACTGGCTGTTGCCAAAGGTGTACGCTGATTTCACCAACATATTTCTGCTTCAAGCGTTATGTCATTCGCGGTGGTGCATCTGAGACCTTTGGACTGGAATCATCAGTCCTAACTAAGTGATAAAGTCACTGGCCCAGAAAATTCTACCGCTAATGTCATGCGCGTAGTAAGCACCTATTTGCTCCTTCACTCGTCCATTGCATATATTCACGGTCAAAAAGGAGCCCTTATGGCCATTGGGAGTCTCATCGTGGGCAGTGGGAAGTTCTACATTGACAATGGTGTTTCTCACGTATGGACTTATGACAGGTTAACAGGATCCATCAGCAAAAGCTGACTGTCTACCACTCCATTTGCGTACTCACTTACCGTTGAAGTACTGAGTATACATGAAACACTTTCATTGTGTTACCATTACACGGTCAGCGTGAATCGATATCACAATCAGCTTCCCTTCACTACTGAATCATCAAATAAATTGCTATGTCTCCCGATAAGCGGAATACGTTTACAAATGGGAACTATCATTAACGGCTTCAGTCTGAATCAACATTCGGCACCAAGAGATGAAGAATTTCTGTACACAGTCTCTTCCACCGTATGTGTCCGAAAGACGCAGTTTACTCGTAAAGAATCTCGTTTGATCTGGATATTCATAAAGGATATGGGAAAATTTCCTTGCAAGTACCTCCGCTGTCAGTTGTCCAATCATTGTGTTCAAAGCGTTGAGTGCATCTGTGCAATTCTGTTGGGTTTTGGACATTTGTTTCACCGTTTCATGTTGCATGTGCATAATTGCCTCCGTCTGTTGTCGTAAGCACCGGTCATGTTCCATCTCTAGGTTCCTTAGCCTGTATAAATGAGTTGGGCGAAGTACGATAATGCAAGAACTGCTAACAGGATTCGAACACATTGCCCCTTATTCACAGATGCTAAGTCTGCATTCACCTGATCTCAAACTAACAACAAGTCTATTAAGCGTCGGATCATACTGGAACTCTTTGGATCAGTGGTGCACAAGTGTTTAGGCTGGTTGGAGAAGTGCTGATTTCCAATCCAAAACTGAAGTAAGTATTCCCTAGACAGCATGTTATTTCAATACAGAGACAGTTAAGCAAAGAGCTTAAAGGTACCACTAACATGCTCTTAAATGTATGCATGAAGCTAACTGAACCTTAGCCTTAACAGTGACTTGGGACATGCCTGTGTCAACAATTTTTGTTTTACTTTGTAATCTATCTAAAGGGCTGTCTGGTTTCCGAAGCTAATTATCCTGAGCAGCGGTCTCCCTATGCGTATTTTTAATATTAACAACTGTCACCACGGTCACAAATAAGTACATTCTGAACACCGCATTTAAGTGCATAGAAGCCTTAACAGGAAATAGGTGATCCCAGCTGTACAGAACTGTTCACCATCATCGTATATGATGGAGCTGATTGGTTTCAATTTCATTGCGGGATTTTCCATTGTTGCTTATCCCACCTCTAGACGAATCCGCCTTTGCTTTAAGCTATGGTGAACAAGAACGTTTTCAACGAACCCCCGCAAATTTTCCATGGTGGAGCCGAGTAATGTAAGGTTGTTCTCACAGAGAACAATACGAAATTTCGTTTCCTAAGTACGTGACTCAGAGATGAACTGGACAACCACAGGTATATAAGTTCATCGATATCCAGATTGCAATCATCATCATCATCGTTATGATTGTAATTCACACTCTCGGTGGCAACAACTGCAATGTCAACAGCAACGAATCTACGTTTGTGTCCATGAAATAACGACTGATGTTTGGCTTAAGTGCCTCAAACAAAAATATTGCATCAAGGCAGTTGCAAGTTGTCGACACTCTAGCGTCTCAGAGAATTGGCTGTCCTATGCGCACTAGAGACATTGGTGAGATAAACTGCTTTTAGCCGTCCATGCTTAATGTCGTGATCGAGGATACTCCACAGATGATACGGACATGTATACCATTTACACTGACCGCTCAGTTAGCAAATGACGGGAACAGATTAATATCGTTTGCTACGAGCTATTTTCCTTGCGATTATGAGCTAAAAGCAAAGTAGCTCGCGTTGTCTCCTACCTGAAACACTGGATGGATCAATAACTTCACTATATCCGCGGTTGTTCCCCCCCCTCCTCCCTGAACATTATACCAGCCTAGACTAGGTAAATGGAGCAAGACACTACTCGGCAAGTGGTGAGGTATCACAGGTAACATGTGCTCGGGTCAACAATGTGTTCGGTCCCATTTGTTTCACAAAAAAAAGATAAGCCAAACATCAATGTGATTCACCTGCGCACTTCCTTATTACAAATACGCTGGTAGTACGCAGCAAGCATACTGAAAAGCAGACAGCAATGACAAGCGCAGTGAAGTTAACTTGTTGAGAACGCGATGCGGTGCAGACGAGTTATACCTAATGTAGTGAGAAGGACGGTAGAGGCCCACAGTCTTTTGTACCCACGCACAACGGGTTCACAGGCTATCACGCACGCGCGCGCGTATGGAGGGCAATTCCCGACAACCATGCACCATATATTGGTCTTTCGCTCAGCGTCACATTCGTGCCCTGGTTTCAGATGGTTAGTGAATTCGCCGCTCGTCGATTTGCCCTCGGATGTTCCCTTCCGCACGTCCTATTCTGATCGGGCTGGATTCGTTCTAATGCTCTTGACTTGCTTACTCTGGGTTGCGTCGCTCTCCTCGTGGTTATTCATAGAGGCACGGTCAAACACGTATCTCTCCGGAAATTTGAGGTGTTCACCAATATGTCCCACGCTCTACTCCGCCTGGGCCTTATACCGTGTGTCGTTTGTTGTCCATTTCCGGCTTGTCCCATAGGTCTCGAGATGCTTTGTCCACTTTCATATCCGGTGTCCTCGTTCTGTCAATGATCCTTGCCTTCCGTGCCACCACACCCGCCTCTTCTTGAAGATCTGGTTCCATCACATACCATGGTTGTAGGAGAGCTGTATTCACCCAGCTTTTCGCTATCCCATCCTCAATTCTGAAGTTCACTACTTTCCTGTCGATTATTGTATAGGGACCTTTCCACCGTTGGTTGAACTTGCTCGCGCCTGGTCCTCTATATGCCGGCGGATCATTATTGCGCAGTCTTACCTTGTCTCCTAGGTTGAATGGTCTCCAATTGTGTGTCAAATATCTTGCCTCATAGTTCCGTTTACTCCGTAATTGTCGTGCCTTTGTTCCCCTTCTGGTGGTTGTTTGTAGTCCTCCGTGCTGCACTGCTGGATGTTCGCACCCGCGATCCATCGCCAACCACGTATCGAGCGGAATTCTCGACTCTCTCCCAAATTGCAATTCGAAGGGCGAAACCATGTTGCTTGACAGCATGCTGGTTCGATAAGCGAGTAGTACTTCGGGCAGTGCCTCTTTCCATACCAACTTGGTGTAGTCCATCCATGTCTTCAACTTCCGGTTAGACCGTTCTGTCATCCCCTTGGTTTGAGAGTGATACGGTGAAGTGCGCCGTCTCTGGATGCCTCGTTTCGCTAATACTGCTTGGAATACTTTTGACTCAACGCAGGAAGCTTGGTCAGTGACAACGAAATGCAGAATTCCATACCGCGCCGGTACATTGTATTCGAAGGTCCGTGTCACGGTCTCCTCTGTCTTGTCTTTAATAGGTATGGACTCGACCCATCGGGTGAAATGAGCAATCATCACAAGGATGTGTGTTACCTGATCGGCTCAGCTGTAATGGCCCAAATACATCCAGCCCCCAGCACTGTAACACTTTGTAACTACAATCGATTGCATTGGCGGTCTGGGCACATCCACCTCCCGGCTAGTTTGCCAGTTTGCCCCCCCCCCCCGAATATATGTTGCTACGACTCTCCACATGTTCGGCAACAATACTCTAGGTAACAATTCAAAATCGCTCCCACATCCCTGTGTGCATTATCATGAACCATTTGAATTACCCATTTCCGTTGGTCTGGTGGGATAAAGAGCAGTTTCCTTCCTTTTGTTGCCAATAGCAAATTGCCATTTACTGTGTGCACTTGGTCCCAGATCTTAACGAGTTCCTTCGCCTCATCCAATGTTGTATCCAGCTTGGTGCCCATTTATAAATGACTGCACAGTGATTTCACTAGTTAATCCTACCTTCGAATTTCGAGTAGGTTGCTCCCCTCTGTTGTGACCGCACACACCGGTATCGCTGTGTCTGGTGGAATGTTGTCCAACGACGGCCGCGACAATATGTCAGGTAGTTCGCTCTGCGTCCCGTCTACGTGCCCGTTGGTGAAGGTAAATCCTTGGAGTCGATATATCCATTGTGTAAGACGCCCTCGTGGACCTTTGGTTGTCATCAAACATGACAGCGGTTTGTGATCAGTCATAACGTGGAATTCACTTGCCAAGTGATAGGTTCTTCACTTGTGCAAGGTCCAAGCGATAGTAAGACATTCCTCCTCCGCCGTGGAGCGTTTCTGCTCTGCATTCTTCAGCTCTCAACTGCCAAATTCTACTATACCCGATGGTTAGGACAGCACTGCACCGATTTTAATGTAGCTAACATCGACCGACACTGTAAACTTCTCCGCTGAACTGAGTATCCGTAAGCACTTCAAGGATTCTGTCACGCATGCATTTATGTGGTTGAAAGCATGCTCTGCTTGACTGGTCCACACGAAAGGCTGTCCTTTGTGAAGCAGCTTCAATAATTTGTTGATGCGTTCCGCAAAACGAGGGACGAATTTCGAATAGTATGCTACTACTCCGACGAAGGAACGAAACTGACGTTTGGACTTCTGGATCGGAAAATTCTGAAACATATCCAGCTTCTCTGGTAGTGGACATATTTGACCGTTCCCCAGGGTGTAACCCAAGCACACAATCGAACTCGGAACTATCTGAGATTTTTTGCGACTTAGCATCCACCAGGCTTCCATCAATCGTTGTAGTACGGCCGCCAGCCTGCTACTATGCTCGTCCTTTGTCGTGGAGAATATAACAATGTTGTCTCTGTAAACCACCATACCATGGAGGTTTTCCAGTATCATTAGTAGCAGTCGTCTGAACGTGGCGGGGGCGTTACAAGTCCAAATGGCATCCTCAACAATTCGTACTGCGGAGCGTGCATACTGAAAGATGTTTTGTGACGATCCTCTTCCGCGATGGTTAGCTACCAATATCCTGAGCGGAAGTCAGTCAACAAGATCCACTTCGCATTATGACGACTGCAGAAAATTTCCTCCATCTCTTACACGTGGAACGCATCCTTTAGCGTCACTTTCTTCAGTGCCCGGAAATCAATGCAGAATCGGTAGATATCGTCCACCTTTCTCCTCAGCAACACTGGTGAGGAATACGCGCTGTTGGCACGTCGGATAATTCCTTTCGCCTCCATCTCTGCAACCTGTTTCTGTACCTCAGATAGGATTTTTATTGGTATCCTCCGAAAAATTGGTTTGCATCGACACCCTGGGACTAGCGGTAGCCGTTGTTACATCCAGTTACAGAATCCGTACTCGTCATTCGAGTCGGTGAACCAATGCCCACAGTCCTCCAAGTTGTCCCTTATTGCATGACTTGGGCAATCAGGTAGAATAGTTACGGCACACAGTTGGATGGTTCTTCTTGCGTTAAGGCTGATTGTTTCCCTGCCCAGGATTATCACTTCTTTTCCCAGATCGATTCTAACGCATAGTTGCTTGACAATATCCTTGCCGAGTACCGTTTCTGTTGCCCCATCCTCAACGAATATCGAATGGCTGATGCATGCCTTTCCTATTCTCAATCGCAATCGTCGTACATCTGTTACGTTTAACTGGTGGCCCCGACCGTCTGCTTTGAGGTCGACGATTGATCTAACGGAACCCCATCGAATTTTTCGTAATTGACGGTCCTGCCCTTGTAGCTAGCACCGCACGGACTGGCACTCCTTCAATTGTGACCTTTAGAACTGGCACTTTTCACTTACCGGCATAAATAAGGAAAAAAGTGAGAAAGTCTTTCTTCGGTAAAGTATCTGACCAGATGGCCTATGCGGTTGCACCGAAAAAGCGGCGGCCACGTCAGTTTCCGTGTTCGTTATATTGTGCCTCCATCCTCGACATTAGCTTATGCACCGTCCCTGTCAATTGATCAAACTTGCGTTCCATTTCCGATGGATGGATTCTTCTCATGGTCATTGGCTCCAAAAGACTCTGAGCCACCGTCACGAGCTCCTCTGCCTTGGTCACTCCAACCATTGCTGCCAGCTTTAGTTTGTCCTGGAGGGGTTTGGGTAGGCTCTGGATGAATTGTCCTTTAAGGAGTCGTTCCTTTGCGGCCAAGTCTAACACAGGTACCCCGACTGCTAAGTTTCTATCCAACTGTTGAAAGAATACCATCAAATCTTCCTGTTCTTACCAGTTTGCCGAGTGAAATTGTTCCAGTGCCTGTTGTTGATCAATTGCCTTCCCGAACTCCGCTTGCAATGCCGCCTTCACTTCGCTGAAAGTGTACCGCGCTTTTGACTCTGTGTTAGCAGATACGTCGCTCTCGCTCTGCCGGTTAACAACGTGCCCAAGGCCACTAGCAAGTTATCATCAGCCCTTGACTCCGTTACAGGCCGCAATTGCCTCAAACTCATCAAGTCGCGCCTCCGCGTCTCTGTCCGCAAATTGAGCTGGCCAAGATAACTTCATCCTGATTGGTCGCGGCACCAAGGTAGCGAGAACGACGGTAGGGGCCCACAGTCTTTAGTACCCACGCACAACGGGTTCACAGGCTATCACGCACGCGCGCACGTATGGAGGACAATTCCCGAAAATCACGCACCACACATTGGCCTATCGCTCGGCGTCACATTCGTGCCCTGGCTTCAGACGGTTAGTGAAATCGCCGCACGTCGATTTGCCCTCGTATCTTCACTTCCGCACGTCCTATTCTGACCAGGCTGGATTCGTTCTAATGCTCTTGACTTGCTTACTCTGGGTTGTGTCGCTCTCTTCGTGGTTATTCATAGAGGCGTGCCCAAACACGTATCTCTCCGGAAATTCGAGCTGTTCACCCATACGTCCCACGCTCTACTCCGCCTGGACTTGACATCGTGTGTCGTTTGTTGTCCATTTCCGGCTTGTCCCGTAGATCTCGAGCTGCTTTGTCGACTTTCATCCCCGGTGTCCTCGTTACTTTTTTTCTTCCTTAGTTTTCGCGGCGGGTCCGTTCTGTCAGTGCTCCTTTCTTTCCGTGCCACTACCAGTCGAATCAACACGTTTGGATATTAGTACAGCTCGAATATTGAAATATGAGCACTTTTACACACCTCCTTTGTTGTACCTTCCTGATTCACCCCTCCGCTGCGCCACATCGTTCATGGTGTAGGCAGAGTTCCGCCCCATGCAACCTTCATCTGTGGATTTCGCACAGGTTTCCTTCGTCCGCTTTGATTCACGAGCTCACTGATTTCTTTTCACTTTCTCCTTTCCACACCTACTACTTAGTAGTAGTACACCACAAACTGATACCTTCAGGCCGAATTGCCTAATACTCTTTGGGGTGAAAATGAACAGCCTCCACTGTCGGCTACTGTGTATGCCTCTTGAAACTAATAACAATCTTTTTCCTTCATCAATAAGATCGCATAAAAATGAAGGCGGCACTATTTTCCTCGGTCCGCAAACTAATTTCAGCAGCCATACCACATCCGGTGCAAACACAGAGGCCGAGATAGTTTGTCGATCAGCTGTCCACAGTCAGTCGTCCCTAAGGCGCATTACACAGGTAAATAGGTTGTTCCTCGTGGCACACCACATTTATGGGGTGCAAAGTGCGATGCAACGATGAAACATGTCTAACAAATCGGTGAAGGACGAGCCGTACCATCTCGCTATCATCAATCAGTAGGAATATCATCCTATTTAGCCACTTCAACCAGCATTTCCACCGGCAGAGCCATAGGAATTAGAGCATACGAGTTACAGTGGTATACTCCATGATGAAGTTCACGATAAAAGCACACGGAAAGTTGGAAAGTGGTCAACCTTTACTAAGGTTACTTGTTCTCCGACAACACCGGATGACTACGGAGGGTTCCAGCACGATCTCGACACGATTTCGAACCGGTCAGTTTAAAATGTTTTACCGTTCAATGTAGAAAAATGTCGAGTTGTTTAATTACGTTATCGGTATGATTACACGCACAGGTTTGGAACACATGGCTTCCAGGCCAGTTCGCAGAAAGATGACAGTTGGTAGATCATGCGGAATGACCTAAGCTATGCAAAAAGTCTGGGACATATACAAACAGAAGCAGCCAGCACGTCGGGCTGCTGCTGAGGGTATTCGGGAGTTATGACCTACCCATCTTCCCAATGATGCACGGTCCTTACGTGCGCCGCCATGTTGAATACGCGTTTAAATTCTGGACACCCTGGTTAAAATGCGGCCTCCAGGTGCGAGGCTCCGCAACACAGCGCGACAAAGAACGTCAAGGATCTACGCAACCTCTCTTATCAGCAAGGACTGAAGTTACTGGGTTCTAAGCGGACGCTTACGACGGCTGCACGGAGGTTTTATATTAGTGTGCTAAACTTACAGTGACCCCAGGGTCACATATGTCACCACTTACGGAAGCGTGGCAACAGTACCAAGCTCAGAGGTAATCGCCTAAAACCGAGTGAATAGTACAGCCCTCTAGAATGCCGAAGGAATAACGTTTTCGTCCGGGTTTGCCAACCCTGGAACTCTATCCCAAAGTCAGTTGTTTCTCCACTTTGGGCATCAACAAAAAGCAACCAGATGTTGGGAATATTTTGGTGTTGCTCATCCCAACACTGGCACCCCACGACCGCCGTTTCGGCCTGGTTTGGACTCATCAGGTGAAGATAGCCTGAGCTGGGGTGGAAATCAGAGCCTAGTGGTTCACGGCGGAGGCCATAAACACTATGCCACTGAGGTCCGTGAGCAACGCTTGGTACAGCGGAAACGAATTCGAAGTTGGAGTTGGAGAATCCGCTGTGTGGTTGGGTTGTTACAAGTAACATCTATTTTCTGCTGTACCAAGCGTTGATCACGGGTCTCAGTGGCATAGTGTTTATGGCATCAGACGTGAACCAATGGGCTCTGATTTCCACCCCAAATCAGGCTATCTTCACCAGACGAGTCCAAACTATAACTGATCCACACAGTATTCTAGATGATAACACATGATTCCAATCTCATACTACCATTTTTCATCTGCGCACTGATGGCAGTGGGTGCATAAGATGATGACACATCTATGGGTTTCTTTGTTTTCACTTAACCATCCTATGAGACACGCTAAGCATCGGTATGTTTACCCGTGGTAAACCGTTGCTAATTGTTCATATAAGCATGCAGCCAGAACTCCGTTGGATTGGTTTCGTGACATGCACCTTAAAGAGGTGAAAAAGATGTACTGGCATTTGTGAGATTACGCCACACAAGAACACAGCCAAATGGGTTTATGGAAGTGCAGGTGAAACCTTTCGGAGAAATACCCTGCATGGAAGCATGGTCCCAGGAGACAGCTCCACGGATTGCCGTATTACATTGCTTGAACAGTTGACCATGTGTCCATTCGTTCTTGTTCCCAATTTACTAATCCTTCCAACACATTCAACTACAGTTTACTCTAAATTCCTTTGTAAACCATGCTGAAAATGTTCAGCCATCTGTTTTATGCCATCTCGTTGTACCTATTTGACCAGACCAGTGCCTCGCCTTGTCGACAAATATAGTCCTTCTCTTATTACGAATATCGTGCATTTGGAAACTTCTAAATGACATTCCATGGAAGTGAGCGTGAACATAAATAAGATATCTAGCTCACTTTAGGCTTGTTTCATTTAGCTCATTCTGCACTTCGACGATACGCTCCGTTCTCTCGTTTAATTCGTGTTCCATCAGTTGACGCTGTTCGAGTGCATTGTTCCGTTCCTCCGTCAATTCAGCACAGAGTATTTCCATTTGTTTAACGTGTCTGGCCTGTTAGCGGTTGAAGAGGAAAGCGGATGACCCTGGAGTTATTGCATGCACCTGTTAGTTGCACAATAAAAGTAAACTCATGAAAATGAGGAATTCTTCGCGTATCGGTCGAAGCCCAGTGTTTTTCCTTTTAGCTTCCCTAGTTCCGAAGTAGGATATCATTTTTCTTCGCCTAGACCCACCTGTGTCTTAACATTTACTAGGAAGAAAAACCTGCTCACACCCATGATTGCTAGACCGCAAAACACTTCCGAAGCTCAAAAACAAAAGTGGCACAAAAAACTGAGCAACTGACGCTAGTCGAACATCAGCGACGACAGTGGAGATCCATCGATCTCTTCAACTTTAGCTTCAAGGTTATATCGTGAATGACTGGCCTGAGTTCTCGGAAACGGACGGCCATGCACCGGGTAGTTCACAGGCATTAAGCACACGGCAGCTAGTGACATACATGAAGTAACCTGGGTCAGAAGTTGGGCTGAGTCATGCTGAATTCCGACAACATTTCAAAGTGTGCCCAGCCATTCGCATTCATGGGAAGAGAGAATTCCTTAGACCTTACGAGGGTACAACAAGCTTTCTGATGTACATTGGAAATATTCTTGCTCAGAGTGCTTTACTAGCTGAACAGCAGGTAGGCTCACGAAATACGGTGTAGAACCTCGAGAGATAGACTCACTGGTAGCTACCAATCTAAGCATGTGTCACGATCGCGCTTGCCCCGGCAGCGCGAGCATAATACAATATCTAATATTTTAGTACATGCTTTTCAAATTCACCGTAGTTTAAATTTTAATTTTTTTTCTTTTTGTATCGCGGCCATTGACCGAGGTGTGCTTCTCACACTCAGCTAAAGTGTATTGATGATGATGATGATGAAAATGGACCGGAACTCACCTGTTCATTCAAATCTGCCCTCAGTTTCTCAACCGTTGCTGTTTGTTCCTTCAAACGTAACAGGTCTGAATCGTGCGCCGTTTTGAGCTGATGTATTTCTTCCGCATGCTTTTGATCCAGATGCTCACTTTGCTCAGCGTTCTCTTGGAACAACTTTTCCAGTTGAGCGTTTATTGAGGCTTGCATCTGTTTCGACTGCAATTAACAAACAATGAATGAGTATGACCTCATCGTTGAAAAACTTGGTAATGCGTGTAAAATGTACAACTATTCACGTTGTCCGGCCATAGGCAAGCAACGATCTGCACAGGACCCTGGTAGCATTGACATCACATTGGACTTTCTACTTGGAGTAATCGCTAAACATTTTCACTAGTTGTCACCTGGAGACTGTCATCGGTAGCAGTGGCATCACCTCACATAACAAGCTACTGCTCCTAGACCCATTGCCTAAGGTTCTTACTCTTTGCCGGTTACTCCGCTGGTACTGTTGATACGGTGTGGAAAAAATAACTGGAAGATGACTGGAATATACGAGTCACACGTCTTTTAGCAGTCACATGGGGTGTGGGTTTGATTTCCCTCAAGATCGGCCAATCTACTAGCCACTATGCAATATTCCGTGTCTGTTCTTCCTTCTAAGTCCAAAACTAACCAATAGGCACGAAGCAAGACATTCGTAGTGCAGCTCTCACATACCTGGACGCCCATGCCGTCTCCCTCCGTACTCGGTCAATAAGTTTGAAATGAGGTCTTGGTGACAGAAAAAACGCAGTAGTTAGAGTAAGGTCGTTCAGACTTTGCAAAAAACGAACTATGCATCGAAATTACTCCCTAGCTGCTTTCGGTGTAACCACGCAGATCGCTAAACTTTAAGCAATCATCTATGCTGCCCAGTTATGGGTGCCAGTGCTTCAGCTCGCAAGTTCGTCTTGCGAGATAGCTTCCACACAACGAAAAAGTACGTTGTGCTCCATGGTGATCAATAGAGGCTGTGATATTGCCATTCGCGGAACCCTCGTCCATTGGTCTTAAGCATGTTGTGACCGGCAAACAAATCCCAACTTCACTCTACCAGTAAAAATGACTGAGAGTGAAGAAAGTTTGCTTCCTCGACGAGGATCTCTCTCCGTCGAACTAGGTCATGACGACGGTACCGGTGTCTATATTTTGTGGAGATTAACCGCTAGGAAAAGAAAAACCAGTTACTCATCCTGTGCATCTTCATTTGTGTTAACGACGCCATTACTCCTTAGAATTAGTGGTGTCTGTACCAAAACGATGTAGAAGATAAACTTCACCCTTACAGACAGAGTGCCAATAATAGTTCCCCACCTGTTCTTCACACTGTCTCCGGACTTGATCTGCGTTTTCTATGGCTGCTGCTAATTGCCTTTCCAGCATATCCACTGATTGCTTCATCTCCCGATGCTTGCATTCCGTCTCCTCCTGAAGGGCTTTGAGCTCCGCATTCTTTCGAGTGATCGTTTTGGCCAACTCAATTTCACTCTCCCGTCGCACTTCCACCAAGTGTTCGTAGAAATCCGCCTCTGTCATTTGAGCCCACTGTTGCAACTGAAAGAACACACCGGTCTTATATTATAATGAATAAAACCAGGAAAGTGTTGGGTGGCGGGTTGCATTGTGTTTGCGTGTCTGTGTGTATGCGTACAGTGACCAGTTTTTTACATGGCCAAATATTTATCACATGGAACAGTTGCTTGTTAGTTTACTTTTGCTTGCGAGCTCCTCCTACCACTGTTCATCTTTCGGATGTCATGCGCGGATCACCAGCAGATTGTGCTTTTGCAACTTCGAAGTCAACCGTGCTTGAATTTTATCGGCGAATTTATTTTTCCTCTCGTCGCACAAGAACACTTGTGATCTTATTTTAAAGACCTTTTTGTGAGTCACCCGAACACCACAATACAATTCCAACCAGTCGATGTACCAAGCGATAGTTGTCAATTAAGTCTGGCCTCGGAAAAGCCACTGTTGCCATTAGACAGTATATTCCAACTCATCTTTCTTTGCCTCAATTCTACGCTGCATCGATGCCTGTATAATTACCGGCTAGATGGACAGCACGCACGTCGCCTATCTACCATAAGGAACGTGTAAGTCTTCCGGAAGCGACAAGTCTGAATCTTCTGACCTCAAAACAGCGCCGATGGCCACGCAACGAAAAGTGAAGCAAAGCCGTACACGGTGCGTCAGTATCTCTGTCCTCTTGCTACCCTTGCCGTAGTGTACATATCTACACCATTTCCGATTCATGTTAGGCCATACAGGTAGCAACTTAAGCTAACCAGATATCAACTTCATCTGTACGCTAACAGGTTACTCCTTCCGATGAACTAACTTGAGTCAGGCGACTGTGACATGCGCGCACCGTCGTATGGCTGGTTCCTTAGCCAAGCGTTGTCAGCCAATAGCATTTCGAATGCATAGTAGACATAGCAACGTGTACGCATATGTAGGGTAGGTGGGTTAGGGGAATCACTACAGCCCGGAGTTTGCTCGTGTGCGACTTGATACATGGGCGGTGATGGATTACATGACGGCGGATGGGGGTAGAAACTCGTTAATATCTGAGGTCACCCACGGCAGGCTAAGAGGAATCGGGGTCAGTGTATGATAAGGTATTTGAGTGCGATTCACGACACCATTATAACAGAGTCTAGTATGGAATAGGGTCACTGGCTACTCGCATTCTGACACGGCTGACAATCCGTGTCATTAAGCTAAACCCCAGGCACTTGTCCGTACGATCTATCGCGTGCTGTGAACCCATGGCGCGCACCGGGCGCTAGGCACAATACGATTGGCGCATTGAACCGCGTAGGCCACAGGTTACTTTGGTCACAACGATAAGTCGCATGTGCACCGGTAGGCATAGACACATGCACTGGTGAGATGATACCAGCGCAGAAATCTTTCCGGCGTCCTGCGATTGCGATGCGCGACGTATCAAGGTGGACAATAAGATGGTAATGCAGCTGACATATGAGTTGTCTTAGTGCTTGTTCCACAGCTAGCACGCAATGCGCCTCAACGCAACGTGTAAAAGTTACACTGAGTATTGTTTAGTAGGGGCAATTAACTGAATGCTTAACAGGTCCCGTAGGTTGGTAGGGGTAGACCATACAATCCAAAGATTATAGTAACACCACAGTTAGGCGTATACTAATGCTGCGGTGATACCATGATTTGCTATGGGTAGAGAAGTAGTGATGCAAGGCGAGGCTGAGAATGGGATGTCTACACGCGGAGCGGCTTACGGGCTCGTTGTACGCCGTCGCGTGCTCCCACAGGATTGCCTTCCTATTGAGGGCAAGTGTGAATGAGTCTCGCTTGTTCCGCGGACAATCAGCGCAGCACATCAGAGCGTGGGAAGTTCGACGCTGTCCATCTGGTTATGTATTATATACCACAAAGCCAGTTTCCGAATATAGAGTAAGTGACCAAGCACTATTTAACCGGAATGAAGTGTCTAACGGAGGGTGGATGAACAACCTACATTACTACTCGCTTCTGTGTGGACTACCATCGATCAGTAGGAAGGTGTTTGAGCCACCTGGCTGTCGACTGTGTTCGCAGTCAGCAACGAGTCGGATGCTTCAGGAAACGGTTCATGGTCCCTTTACTGCTATACTCGTACTGTTCCCGTGCCATAGGTAGTTTGTTGACACTCAAAACTCATGTTATCGACTCTCGACAGTTCGTGACATATGTTACTCACCTCACAGCTTTGCTGGTAACGGCTTTAAAAACTAAGGCGTTGGCTCGGGTTACAGAATAGTTAACCGCTTCTCCTACCTGGGTAACTGAAATGCTCCATGTGCAGACAACACACTTGCACATGGATTTACGTAATCCTCAGATCGTTTTCAGAATACATGCACGCCAAACTTATCTGGTGACATAAGTGAAGAAGCCGCGGACTAGGCTGGTGTACGAATTGTGTTTACTGCGCGCGCAGAAGCAGCGCTACTTGATTGGATTCTAATTAACGACTAATCCTGTGCAATTTAAGTAAAAGCCTCTATACGATTGTGCAACCGCGATGTAACCAAACACTGTTTGTTTGACGCAACAGTGCATGTTCCCACGGGTTACAGCCCGGACTCAGCTAAAGATGAGTTCTACCGTCAACTATCCGACCTACTCCATAAGAATCATTGCAAGTATATGGTGGTTCTCATCGGGGACCTCAGCGCACCGGTTGGTAGGCTCGAAGATTTGGAACAAGATGTCGGTAGTCTGGGTTGCTATGCTATTCGCATGACGGCTTAAGAAAGCCAAAGAAAAGCATCAGCAGTATGTCATTACGCAGTACCGACACCATGCTGCTATGCAAGCACCATCGGTCGCACGTGGACTATGGAGGCTTCGAGAGTCGCCCGGTCCCGACGCAGGCTCCAACCAGCGTTGTCAGATTAGGAGACAAGCTGGTTACCTTTAGGCTACGGGATTGAGGACGTCGAGCGCCACAGATCTCTGCTGCTCACGGTCGTGGATAACGACTGACCACATCGTGATCGATTACCATTGATGAGGCTGTTGATGGGACAGCAGATCAAGTTGAAGTACTTAGCACACTTCTGATCACGCGCTTGTGTGTACTAGAATCGTCCTGCATTCTTTTTGGCGTCTAGCAGCATCTTCAGGCACAGCTAGAAGTGGGTGAAGTTGTTGTTTCAAATAACCTGAATGCCTTTCGGAATTCGTCACCTATGCTGAACAGCTCTCTACTCGCAGATGTTGACGCGCATTGGACACTTATCTGGAATGCCATGCACAGATCTGCCAATGCCATCTGTATGTTCAGTAGGCACATCATCAACGGACAGATTTCCGCTCGATGTTCAAGTTATGGAAGATCACCGTACAATCGCAGTAAGTCTACGCTAAGCTCTGAACACCGAGCTCAAACGGTTCACCATGGACGTTCGTGGAGTCTGGTGGCAGTGACGGTGCATTTTGCAACGCACCGCCTGTGTGCCGTGAGGCATCCAGAGCTACTGATTTCCTTCCAGCATTCGCGTCGAAGCATCCGAGGTACCGGTTAGCGGACTATTGTTTCTACCGTACCACATTTATCGCCGAGCCCGTATCATCGTGACCGATTTACAGGTTCCGGCACTCCCCCCACCCCGAAGGGAGTGTAAACAGGTCAGTTGCAGGTGACTGGTCCGTTGTGCGGTCACATTTTAACCTGACTACAGAATCCACGTTTTTTGATGAAATTATTAGTGTGAGACGCTTCACTTGCAGGAGTGCAAAGGAGTTGCAGCCGAATCGCAACTTCTTAACATGCTTTCGGTTACTAGTAGAATGACGGAAAGACCGGCCTGCCAGTTATCAAATGAACAGACGCAACTGAAGACTAAAGCGCGTCGCCTAACTGCACACATCATACTTGCCACACTGAATTCACCTAGCATCATTATCCTATGGTGTGTTCCGATGCTGATGGCAACCTTAACCGAAAGCTGGACTCCCTGCATTGTCCTTTCAAACACTGGGTTTTGTGGTGGGGTCTTTATCAAACGTCCGCATTCGTCCGCTTCCATCTAACAGGTTTGGTTAACACCGCTGATGAAACCGAGATTACGAGTCTAACCGGTGTGCTGCAGGAGGGAACGAAATAATATTACATATATATATATATATATATATATATATATATATATATATATATTTGGCACAGGTTGCAGGTGTATACTATTACGGTCGCAAAACATATCAACCGTTCCAGTACCTCCAAGGCTGCGTGTGACGGCCGTCAAGCAGATCCCCGTCTGTCTTTGCAATCACATCCCCGAGCTGGATATGCAACCCACTGCCTTGTGGGTCAGGCTATTGAGCCAAAGGCTTCAGACAGAGCCCTTCAAGCAAACTTCCAAATCACCCACTTGCTTGCGGTTCAGGCTATTGAGCGAAAGGCTCCGTGTGCAGTCCCTCAAGCACACCTCCGAAGCACAACGACCATCTCGCGTGCGATTGCCCACCAATGCAATCGTATGCCTGCGCGCAAAGCACTAGCATCTGGTGCTGGAACGTGCGCACACTACTGGACCAGAAGTCCAGCGAGCGCCCGGAGCGACGCATTGCACTGGTCGCGATGGAAGTGGCGCGCAACCACATCGACATTGCGGCGCTCAGTGAAACTCGGCTCGCTGAGCAAGGTAAGTTGCATAAACTAGGTGCTGGTTACACATTTTACTGGGTGGGCAACGCCGCCTCAGCACCCCATGATCATGAGGTCGGATTTTCAGTATCCGTTCACCTCCACAGCCTGCTGGTAGGTGAAACAGCGGGCATCAGCGCATGACTGATGACTGTTCGCCTACGACTCGGAAGAGGTACGTTTTCCACCTTTATAAGCACTTACGGTCCGAGTATGTGTTATCCTGATGACATGCGTGATCAATTCTGCATTCAGCTATCCTCCGTGATACGGTCTCTGCTGAAGAACGACCGACTATTTTTATTGGGTGATTTCAACGCGCGCGTTGAGCGTGATGCATCCCTGTGGACAGATGTCAACGGTT